CTCCCTCTCTCTCTGCCCCTCCCCCGTTCATGCTCTGTCTCTCTCTGTCCCCAAAATAAAAATAAACGTTGAAAAAAACAAAATCTAATATGATTCTTTTATGATTGTAAACTCTTGAGGCTTGTCACTAATTTACACACTTCAGATAAAACTATTAATAACATGATATTTTATCAGAGAAGCCTAACATTTAAAAAAGTCTTTAACATCTGAATTTATTATGAACTCACTTTATTTATTTCATATATAATTTTATAATTGTTATTATAGAACTTTAGAAGTTCAAACGTTTAATGATTGCCCTGTATTGTACTGTAAAGTGAAAATAGCCATATATGTGAATCATACTAATAGTGATGATTTATGAAAAGTTAAAGGGCGTTTAGTTGGGAAGATATAAATAATTTCACTTAAGCAGTAAGACAGTGATATAATCAAGGTTAACATAGCATATTCTCTGCCGGTAATTTTATACAAATAAGATTTTGATGAACTGGAACCATCATTTAAACACATTATAATATCTGTATAGTATGCTATATAAACTGTAACTAAGATTAAAATAGTCTATTTAATTGTATGAAATTCCTTCTCTTCGTACTCTAGTTAGTTAATGTGAAAACATGATAGAAGTTATTATGACAGTAGTTTATTTTCTATTCTTATACACACATTATAAATAAACCCATGATTATGACTGATATTAAAGAAACTACAGTTATAAAACATATACATTTTGAAATTCACTCTTTAAAAAATGACCTTTGCTAACTCTGTTATACATGATGACTACATCACCTCGAGACCATGCCGTCAGTTACGTTACTTCTACAAACTGAGGTGGGGTTGGGGAGGTTTATATAAAGAAGAGAATATTGAAATATTTTTTTCAGAGACAAGCTCTTCTATAATTTCATTTTCTGGTTTTCAGAAGTCTTGCATTAAATGAGAACCTCAGTCGATAGCTCCTGCATTTGCCTGTTTCTGGTGTTAATTATCTTTTGTTTGCCCTTGATAATCCTGAGGTTGGTATGCAGATGATATGAAGGCTGCAGAATCATCTCAAAGTGTAAAAAAACAATGGCATTGTCAATTCTGCATCACAACACTTTATAAATTATGAATGTTATCCACATTAAGGAGAGTGGTAGACTTTTAAAATTACTTCCATGAATAGATTAAATTACAAGTATTATTACATTTCATCTTATTAAGTGCATCTTAGTAGTTATTAGAGCAAATGAACATGTTCTCTCAATTACATAATAACATTAGAACTAAAAATTATGCATCAACACTCCCAGATGCATAATGGAGCATTGTATATTAATCACTCTAAACAATATTTTTGAGTTTATATAAAGGCAATTATTACCTATTGAACAATAACATTATTTTGTTGGTTTATTAAAATTCAGTTTAAGAACTGCCTCTTTTATAAAAAGCTCGATTTTCAATTTTTTTCAAAGAAACATAAAGTATACAAGTAGTCCAGTTTACTTACATTTGATGATGCTTACTTATCTTACTATGAAATCATAAAATTGTATAATAGAATGGGAAAGCCATCACTAAAATATGATATCCTACATTACTTATTCATATTATATGAAAACTAATTGAAAATTGTACACTAAAAGTTTTACTTGCCCAATTTGAAAGTTATAGTTCAATATCATAATGAATACTCTAATACATGCATATTAGTGTTATTAGACTTGAAAAACAGAATGACAAGTTATAAATAGAATTATAATCAGCCTAGATTTATAGGATCAATTTTATTTTCACTATCCTAGGTGATTCATGAATATCAATTTTCAACAGAAGTATTTTTATATGTACTTAACATTCGAAACTCATTTATTCTGTTTATTTTGCTTTAATTAAGGGTCAATGGCTTAAAAGGGATGATTACTGAATATTATAGTAGAATATTACTTCAATGTTAGGAATTAAAACTTTTCCATTTCATAAAATGTTTTGCTTTGATGTTAGAGTCTTATTTATGTCAACGAAGCTTTTATAAATTTAGTTAGAATTGAAGATAACAGTTTCCAATATCAACACCCCTTTGCAGGAATGCACAAGAAACCACCAGTATCTTTAAGTGCGGTGGAAGACAGAAATTAAGTTATTATTAACGTAACAGAATAAAGTTATTTTTTGAACAGCTATGGAATGTGGACTTCACATCAAGAATACATGGCAAAATGAACTTAACTGACCTGAAATTTGAATCCAAATTTAAAAATAGTAAAGTGAGTTAGTCTTTCACATTGGCATCTTAACCATGTTATTATCATCCTTTTGATTTAGCAGTCACATTATTAACATTATTTATAATAAAAGTAAACTTATGATTTATAAAACAGGAGAAGGGAATTGATATCTACTGGCTAGATAACATTATTTTACTTGTTTATTAAAATGCAATTTAAGATTTACAAAGAAGTATCTTTCAACTATCTGTATTTGTATGTATATAGGTATATTTTTTATTTAAACTTCTTACATGAATATGAATTTCTTAATTGTACTTTTTCTAAATAAGGAATGCTTTATTTATAAACTTTTCTAATGCTTCCAGGAGAGGAGTAAAATGTATAATATTTTGTAATAACAAATATTCTGAGAATATATTGACTACACACATTTAGATATTTTTATTACTGCTGAAAGAGATATGAGCCACTATGATTCATTCACCCAAGTATTTAAGTGAACAACAAAACCATCTCCAAGATATTTTTAGAACATTCATCTTTTTATGCTTCTCTCAAAATGGTATACACAAATTATAGGGCATATAGCACAGCATAACTAAATTTGACTTAATCTGCCTCCAATTCTTTTTTGTTCCCTTCTTGCTTGAGAAGTTTCAGATATGAAAGTGTTAATAATGTCTTTAAAAATTACTTTCATTCAAGAAGAAAAAATTATGTTATTTCTTAATCTTTCTAATTCTGTTCTCATAATATGAACTTGGATTTGTTTCTTTAACACCGAATCCTTTTATAAAGACCTGATTTCTTTACTAATGAATTGAAAAAAAAAAAAGGAATGACATCAGGTTCCTAGGTAAGTCCTATTAACTAAGTCACACACAATAGTAATACTGTTTCATGTAACAGAAAATAAATATTTGGTTCAGTCTCCTGTATATGTTTTTTTTTTTTTTTAAGCAGTGATTAAGACAGCAGGTAAATAGCACGCAAAAGATTATGCAGCAGTTTGTAATCTGTCTTTCGAGCATCACTGAAAAATTTCTGCTAGGAATTGAAAGCCAGGCATAATTCACTAAAATTACACTGAACGCCTCTTAATCAATGGAGATAAATCTAGTTTTGTTGTTAAATCGATTTTCTCCTTTATAGAGATATATTGTCCTGATTGTTTTAAGAATAATTGCTTCACTAAGGATTTTTATGGTGATTAGGAAAAAGTAAACAAGAGAAAACTTAGTGCAGCTCCCTGGCATTGCCAGCATTTCAAGTTAATTTGTTAGAGATAGCAATTGAGATTTATATCATTTTGGGCAATAATGTTTTCCTGAAAGAAATTCAGTGAGGTTGATTTCCTTTCAGAAATAAGCAACCACAGTGTTTGTTTTACTTCTATAAAATTTTCAGGTCTCGCCAATATAAATATTCACTAATGCACACTCTCTCTTCCAGCTTTTATCACTTTCCTTGATTTTTTGGCACAGATCACGTTGAAAAAGTCCAGATAATTTTTTTTTTTGTATTACAAAAATGTTTAGACTAGACTCAGGGACAAAGGTAGACTCCAAGGATTGCTTACAGTGATGTGGCTGAATTATTTCTTAAACCTAAATGTAAGAGCTGTGTGTGTGCATTCCATCCAATTTCCAATTTTTACTAAGACACTGTATATTTAAATGTTCCATAAACAATTATTCACATGCGATACACTTAGAAACTGAGGATGAAAGAAAAAAGCATATTTAAGTAATAAATGATTGTTTTATTTTTCAAAGAACTGAAACAAAAAATATTAAATTTACTTTCCTGAATGGTTTTGGTAATACCACCAATATAATGCTAGATACATATAAATGGATAATAAATACAAATATAACAATTTAATTCATATATTTGTATATTATCACTTATTGGTACCCTTTATAGAAAGTAAAATATTTATTTTGATGAACAACTGGAAATATTACTTGTAGGATCTTAAATTAGCAAATTATGTACTCTTGTAAATAATATAATTTTTAAATAACATAGAAGAGCATCATTTTGAAATTTTATTAAAATCTAAAGTTTAATGTGAGATACTCTTTTGGGTCAATAACAATCTCACTGGTATATATGTAAGATAACTACACTTCAGATAAACAAGTGTTATTTTCCCATATTAAAATATACATTGAGATAAAGTTGTAAATATTTTAGTAAGAAATCAATCTTATACTTTCTTTCCACTTGTATGCACATACTGTGAAAGAACAACAAAGCATTTAATCAACCAATTCATGAACATAGCATTTTGAATTTATCAACATTTTGCTTGTATTAAAAATAGAAATCCTAAACAATAATACAGCGTGGCTTCTTTTGAAAAGGCAAAAGAAATAATATACTTAGCCTGCAAATTTTTATTAAATACTCTTATAATTTGTAAATGCCAAGTAGATTTTAACCCATAATAAGCTATTTAAAACCTCCTGAGAGGAATCTTGTATGTATGCATGGGTGCACGTGTGTGTGTGTGTGTGCACGTGTGTGCGCACACACACACACACGTGCACACAAAGTTGTTCTGCCAGTAAAGTTTTGACTTTTCAACAATTGCTTAAGTTAAACTCTCAACTTTGCACGGATTCCATATTTCTGCAAATTTTCTTTAAAATTCTTCGATACTGAGGAATACATAGATTGTCATATTTACATATATCTTAAAATATAAATAATTTTTCCCTTCAGTGAGCTAAAAACGGTAGTAAATAAAACTCAAGGAAGGGAAGTTAAATCAAAGTAGTCGTGATTTCCAAACAGAAAACAATGTTGCAAGTCAAAGACAGGAGAAGATGACAAGTCCTCAGGCAGGGGCTGGTGTAGGAGCTGTGTATGGCATTGTTGTAACATTGAAATTTATGAAACGTACTTCTCTGCTGTATTTGATGTGCTTCCTTTGACCTGACCCCAGCACTGTGTGTAGAAGGCGGCTGCAAGGTAATTCTTTCCTTGATTTCTTTGTAACAGATATAAATGAAATAAAAATGGTCCGGTTGTATTAGAAATGAAACATTTGGTGGAATATAACAGGCATACTTGTAGGCAATCGGTACATATATTTATTTAAAAAGGCTCCATTGCTACAGTACCTGGATAATGGTTACTGCTCGCATCACCTTTTATAAACACTTCACTTCAGGCTTTCACAGTTAAAAATAAAATTAACCCTTTAAAAAAGCTCCAAATTCTTTGTGGAAAATTCACATGCTACTGGTTATTTTTTCTCATGGAAATGTGATAAGGCCAGAAGATACGCTTTGAGGTCACAGGCCACAAGTAACCTTATACATATTAACTATTCTGCTATATATCAATGCACCAAGATTTCAGCAGGCTCTGGAACATTAAACCTTCTGTCATTCTTGTCCCTACTGAGTTTGATTCTGCTGAGGTTTAGTGGAATTATAAACACATATGAAAATATGCAGAATATATTTCTTTTTTGAAGTGATTATAATGTGATGTTTCTGCACTGCCAGCATTCATAATAAAGCAAATGTGATGTTTCAGTGCAATATGACATCCACCGTAATCTTATTAACATGTAAGCAGCGTAAGACAAAACATGCACTGCATTACCTGCTTTATTTAAAGGCATAGAACAAATAGATTTATTAATGTAAACTTTTACTATCTTTGGCAACAGACACGTGCCATCAAGTTTGGAAATCCTTGCAGTTTGCAGACAGGTTTGTCAAACGAAGGGTTTTAACAGTTGTTAAGTTCTCCCTCACAAATAAAACAATAATATCCAAAGTAACTAAGTGTAGTTTTAAATCGATTGATCATTTCGAACACCCAAAGAAGATGAATGACAGTGAGCAACATTTACCTGACACCTTTGAATATTTCACAGAGACAAGTTGATATGAGTTTGTATAAATACTAATATTAAGCAGAATTAGCTTTGGAAAAAAATAAAGAAATTGTACTGAGGTGAAAATTGTCACTGTCAGGAGAAATGAAGTTATATCAGAGAACAAGTGACATACAATTTTCTCTAGAGTGTTTTTAATAAAAATAGCTTTTCTTTGAATATTTTGAAGTCAGACATGAGAGGCAATCTGGGCGTTTGTCAGAGTTTGAGAGTGTGAAAAATTGCTGCCTTAAATCATTTAAGCTGAAAAGCAACTTCTTCCTGCTGAGATAATTTCACATTGACTTACCGTGCAAGCCCTTCAGGCATTCCCAGCTCAGAGCAGAAGTTTTCAAGGTAAAAACATAGAGCGAGAACATAGGAGAAGCTGGGACAAGGATCAGCAGCAACTCCAGGCGTTCAGGCACATCTGACTTTGATTAATTAGAGAGCTGCTTTTCTATTTCCACATGTACCGCCTGATGGAAAGGTAGACTGGACCGGGATACACAAACTTGAGTTGACTCTGTTAGTTATCAGCGGGTTTTGACATCTTCTACCGAGCTGGCGGAATCTCTGCTTAGGAGGACTAAATTGCTGAAGCACACTTTTAATTTATTCATTTTCCTAATGCAGAGAAATTATCTGAACTGCAATAGATTTGATTTTCAACACTGAATAAATCAGTTACTGTAAATGTTTAGGTTAGATGAATAGGCAACTATCTTGCTGCATAATGAAGGATGAGTTATTTCCACTTTTTTTAGAAAGTTTTTTGACATAACAATTCAATTTTGTGTTTAAGTACCACTCAACATGATTTTTTCCTTTTATTTTATTGAAAAAATACTTTAATATGTGGAAAATCTTTTCATATTTCTCAGTTGTTTTACATCTGATAAAATGTTTTCTTAAGCCCTATAAAATGTTAAAAAGTTGAGAGATATTCTACCACTTAACATTTTATAGAAAATTAACATGTAGGAAAAAATCACTTTAGAAAACTGATATAAAGCTACTAAAATTCAAAAAGTATATAAACTCAATTAAAAAGAACATTTATTATAAGTCTAAACTATCGCAGTTATTATCTGACATTTGGAAAGATCAATATAAATGCATTCTTCTGGTATAGCCTCATTTTAACTTCTTATTTCAGAAAAAAAAATTACTTAAAACTAAAGTCTCCTGGTTTCCAGAAAGACAACTCTTCTAAAAAAATTATGAGTTTTCTGGGGTGCCTGGGTGGCTCAGTTGGTTAAGCATCGGACATCAGTTCAGGTCATGATGTCATAGTTTGAGAGTTCAAGCCCCGTGTTGGGCTGTGCTGCTTCAGATTGTGTGCGTCTCTCTCTCTGCCCTTCCCCGACTTGCTCTGTCTTTCTCTCTCTCTCTCAAAAGTAAGTAAACATTAAAATTTTTTTTAAATAAATAAACATTGAAAAATTATGAGTTTTTTTAAATCCTTCATTATTTTGAATGCATTTTTGTTACATAATGAAAGTGCTCCCCCTGACTTTTTTTTTCTTTGCTTTTCCATTTATCATGGAAACTGCTTTTTTGTAAGTTTTATTTTATCTAGTGAATTTCATGATTGCTTACTACCTTCTTATGCTTCAGTTCCTAAATAAATCTAGCAGGATAAGTGAGAGCGTCCATCAAATTTCCATGTGATACTTAGACCCTTAGACTCATAAGAGTTAAGGTTCAAACTGATCTTGATCAACATTCCCTCCATTTAGGGTTTGGTGATATAATGGATGAATACAGGCTTGATATCAATCACTTCTAAGGTAAATTCTGAGAAAGTCTTGCTGTGCATCAGCCAAGACATAGAGTCCTTAATGAAATAATAGGATCCTTAGTTATTATCATAATTTTTTTATAGAGAAGTCCTCACATCAGACATTGTCCCCTGCCTCTGTCAATCACATATTGCAATTAACTTATTAAATTGCACTTCAATTGGACTGACTACTAGAGAGGGGAAACTAGGAAGTTCTTGAAAACAGCTTCTTCTTTTTTATCCTTCAGACACTTCTGAATCAAGGAATGTGGAATCTAGGTTTCCCTTTTATAGCAAAGTAATTTTTTCAGTTTTAACTTAAAGGAGAGATTTTTTTTTAACTTCTTCAGTAAAATGGATACTTACGGCTTATCCCTCATCCCCTCCTCCCACCCCCACCCCAGAGGGGAAGTTGCAATTAACATGATGATTGAGATATGCTTAATGAATTAACTGTTAACAGTACAATTCAACTCATCAAATATGAATTTAGCTTAAAAATATGTGCAAAACACAATGATAACACAGAACTCATGCCTCCAAGTAGCCCACTACTGAGTTATAGAGTAAGTACGGGGCTCCTGAGTGGCTCAGTGGGTTAAACATTGGACTTAGGCTCAGGTCATGATCTCATGGTTAGCAGGTTCAAGCCTCACCCTCAGACTCTGTGCTAACAGCTCAGAGCCTGGAGCCTGCTTTGGATTCTGAGTCTCCCTCTCTCTTTGCCCCTCCCCCCTCACGCTCTGTCTCTGTCTCTGCCTCTCTCTTTCTCAAAAATAAATAAACATTAAAACAGTTTTGAAGAAAAGTAAATGACGTGTGCCAGAAAGGTAAGAATAAAGTTTCAGGTGGGTTCCACAGAGGACAAATTTAATCAACTTATAAATCCAGCAACAAAATTTTTACTGAGCACCTGGTGTGTGTCAGACACATATGACATGAATCCTGCCCTCTAAAAGCTCACAGTTTAATGGTGGAAACACATGTCTAAGTATACAAAGAATCAGTATCACAATAAAGGTGTAAACAGAATGTTAAGGGGAGGTACAGGAAAATATGAACAGAGCAGGGAGGGTCCTGGGAGACCCAGAAAAGACTTCACCATGGAAATGACAGTTCAGAAGGACCACGAAGGTTTCCAGCAGAAACAACAGCATTAAGCTAAGACACAGAAGAGAGGATGACTCTAGTAGGTCTGGGGCATGGGGGAAACACCTGTTGTGTCTAAAACATAAACACAGGGCTGTACACAGGTCACGGGGGACTGGGAACTGCCAACACGAAATCACATAATCTTTACTATCACGTACTTCTGAAATATCACCTAAGGCATAATTTTCTTTGTAAAAAAGAAGAACGATAAAATGACGCATGTGTTAATTAGGAATGGCTTGGGATGCAAGAAACTGAATAACTGACCTCAAATTTAAACAACGAGAAGTTTATGAAGGAAGGTGGCAGCTGGCCAGAATTTCTGATTCCTTTGGTCACAACATGTCTGCTACACATTTAGGAATAACATCCAAGTTCAGGTGAAAAAGAATTTGGAAGGGTGAAGAGCTTTCTCCTTTTATTTAGAAGGAGAAGCTCCCTCTGCAAACTTCTATCCAGCTTTTCCTTAGCCAGAACTGGGTCCCACATGTATCTCTACCTGCAAGGGAGACTTGAAAATCAAGTATTGTATTTGACTTTCTAGCCTCATAGTAAAGTGGGATGTGCAGCAGTGGTTTGAGAATAAGAAACGAGACAACCTGTAGTATCTGTGACAATACATTCTCCCTGGGCTGCAGCTGGTGACACATTTGTAAAATCACATGAGCTACATTTTTCCCAGCCCAAGCTCCACTTACTGTTTCCCAGATCCAACATCTAGGAGTACTAGAGACCTATTCGTTCCTTGTATTCCAAATAGATTTCCCTCCTCTCTGTATCATATTCCATGATATTAGGTAGACAAGATAGCAAAATACTGTAAAACCTTGGATTGTGAGTAACTTGTTTGCAAGTGTTCCACAAAACAAGCAAACATTCCTAATCAATTTTAACCTGTAAATGAGCAATATCTTGCAATAAGAATAGTACACGATGCCGAACATCACATGATCACAACTGAGCCAATGGTTCTTGAAATTCGCTTTGATATGTGAGTGCTTTGGAATACAAGCATGTTTACGGAACAAATTACGCTCTCAAACCAAGGTTTACTGTGTTTTATTCAGGGGTCAGGAACCTGTCATTCATGGTACACCTTTTAACAAGGATAGAGCAACAGCCAGCTCTGTGGCCACAATTACA